TACTATAATAATATTATATTGTATCATTATCTCTATATTACCGAATTGGACTTCCCTTGTTCAGATATACTAGTAGTATACTATAATAATATTATATTGTATCATTATCTCTATATTACCGAATTGGACTTCCCCTGTCCAGATACACTAGTAGTATACTATAATAATATTATATTGTATCATTATCTCTATATTACCGAATTGGACTTCCCCTGTCCAGATATACTAGTAGTATACTATAATAATATTATATTGTATCATTATCTCTATATTACCGAATTGGACTTCCCCTGTCCAGATATACTAGTAGTATATTATAATAATATTATATTGTATCATTATCTCTATATTACCGAATTGGACTTCCCTTGTTCAGATATACTAGTAGTATACTATAATAATATTATATTGTATCATTATCTCTATATTACCGAATTGGACTTCCCTTGTTCAGATATACTAGTAGTATATTATAATAATATTATATTGTATCATTATCTCTATATTACCGAATTGGACTTCCCTTGTCCAGATATACTAGTAGTATATTATAATAATATTATATTGTATCATTATCTCTATATTACCGAATTGGACTTCCCTTGTTCAGATATACTAGTAGTATACTATAATAATATTATATTGTATCATTATCTCTATATTACCGAATTGGACTTCCCTTGTCCAGATATACTAGTAGTATACTATAATAATATTATATTGTATCATTATCTCTATATTACCGAATTGGACTTCCCCTGTCCAGATATACTAGTAGTATACTATAATAATATTATATTGTATCATTATCTCTATATTACCGAATTGGACTTCCCCTGTCCAGATATACTAGTAGTATACTATAATAATATTATATTGTATCATTATCTCTATATTACCGAATTGGACTTCCCTTGTCCAGATATACTAGTAGTATATTATAATAATATTATATTGTATCATTATCTCTATATTACCGAATTGGACTTCCCTTGTCCAGATATACTAGTAGTATACTATAATAATATTATATTGTATCATTATCTCTATATTACCGAATTGGACTTCCCCTGTCCAGATATACTAGTAGTATATTATAATAATACTATATTGTATCATTATCTCTATATTACCGAATTGGACTTCCCTTGTCCAGATATACTAGTAGTATACTATAATAATATTATATTGTATCATTATCTCTATATTACCGAATTGGACTTCCCTTGTCCAGATATACTAGTAGTATATTATAATAATATTATATTGTATCATTATCTCTATATTACCGAATTGGACTTCCCTTGTTCAGATATACTAGTAGTATATTATAATAATATTATATTGTATCATTATCTCTATATTACCGAATTGGACTTCCCTTGTTCAGATATACTAGTAGTATACTATAATAATATTATATTGTATCATTATCTCTATATTACCGAATTGGACTCCCCTTGTCCAGATATACTAGTACCCCGGTTCCCAACCTGGGGTGTTTTCACCCCCTGGGGTGTGGGACTAGGGTGTTAATAGTGTGGCCAACTGTTGTAGGAGAAGAATTTGATTTGAATTGAGAGAGCAACTCACATCAACAGATGAAAATGAGATGATGGTGAGAAAGGTCCAGGTGATTGCTCCAGGGGTGTGAAGGCTGAGATAGGTTGGGAACCTCTGAACTAGTATAATATAAAATGGGGCCAAACTTTCGGGTTTTTTTTATTAACTTTTATTTTCAATATAGCCACTTGAGTTATAGGGTCTAACGACAGCCCTTCGTAAAAGTTCGTCAAATTAACCTTTTGACCTAAATCGATGAGGTCTGCTTCAACCAACCAAATCTTCTCCAGCACTGGCACTTTGTGACGCGGTATTTATCAGGATAGGTCCAAAGGTTAATATGACGAACGTTCAAGAGGGCTACAGTTAGACCCTACCTGAAGTGGCTATATTTAAAATAAATGTTAATAACAAAAAAGGGGACGAAAGTTTGATTCAAGTTTTATACTATAATGATATTATGTTTTATTATTACCTCTATATCACTTGGTAGAAGTGGACTTCCTTGTCCTCATATACAAACAGTAAATGAATTTTGAGGGGAAATCTTGTTGATATTCTAAATGATTTCAATGAAATGGAAACGACAATAGACAATATATTCATTTGACACAACGTTTCAACAATTTACATGATAATCATCAGATATGATATACACCTCCTGGGTTTGTATTGTGCACATTGTGTTTCAACGATTTACATGACCTGGTTTTTTCACTGGTTTTATCAAGAGGTAGAAAGTTTTTATCTACTCAGAGGTTCATCGTGAGGATTGGGGGCCAGTAAGTTGAGACCCCTTCCCAGAGGAATATTTTTTAACATATATTCTCCTGCTTTTCTGTACCCCGTTTTAAATCAATGTAATGTCTATTATTTGAAGATTTTAATATTTTCAGTCTGTAGTTATATTCAGTCTGTAGTTATATTCAGTCTGTAGTTATATTCAGTCTGTAGTTATATTCAGTCTGTAGTTATATTCAGTCTGTAGTTATATTCAGTCTGTATTTATATTCAGTCTGTAGTTATATTCAGTCTGTAGTTATATTCAGTCTGTAGTTATATTCAGTCTGTAGTTATATTCAGTCTGTAGTTATATTCAGTCTGTAGTTATATTCAGTCTGTAGTTATATTCAGTCTGTAGTTATATTCAGTCTGTAGTTATATTCAGTCTGTAGTTATATTCAGTCTGTAGTTATATTCAGTCTGTAGTTATATTCAGTCTGTAGTTATATTAAGTCTGTAGTTATTTTCAGTCTGTAGTTATATGAAGTCTGTAGTTATATTAAGTCTGTAGTTATATTCAGTCTGTAGTTATATTCAGTCTGTAGTTATATTCAGTCTGTAGTTATATTCAGTCTGTAGTTATATGAAGTCTGTAGTTATATGAAGTCTGTAGTTATATGAAGTCTGTAGTTATATTCAGTCTGTAGTTATATTCAGTCTGTAGTTATATGAAGTCTGTAGTTATATGAAGTCTGTAGTTATATGAAGTCTGTAGTTATATTCAGTCTGTATTTATATTCAGTCTGTAGTTATATGAAGTCTGTAGTTATATGAAGTCTGTAGTTATATGAAGTCTGTAGTTATTTTCAGTCTGTAGTTATATTCAGTCTGTAGTTAATGCTATTTCACTCATAGTTGCTTAGTTTAAATATATTATAAATATAAACTTTGGGATTTTTTCTTTAAAAGTTTATATTTTTTTTCTGGGGAGTGGGGCCCCTTGGACTTGGTTCAACCAGTCACTATGGTAGTTAAACCACTGTATCTATTATGAAGATTGATAAGGGGGATGTGTTCAGTCTATTTAACATATAGTATACAGTTGACATTCTTGAGAGTACAATCAGTCACGTTTCAGTCTGGTTGACAATGTCAAACTCATTTCTATTCATTTTCAAAGATTCATGAACATTATATTCTTTCGCCGTGTCATAAAAAAAGAAAAAAGAAATAGTACACTTAAAAGTACAAGGTACATAGAGGTCAAAAGCTATCCTAAACTCAAAATAAATATAATCGGCAATTGGACAAATTGATAAATAAAATCCGAAAATTGTATCAAAAAATCACAAAATAGTATTTAATTCCAAAATTGCTAAATTGAAAGCTGTTGGGAAAAAGTTCAGACATGTTCATCTCTTGAAATGTAGTGTGTCAACCTCTTTAGAATAGAAATGGTGACGTAATATTTCCTCCCTGTGTTTAAGAACAGGTTGATGTATGACATTCTGATTTGGTGGAATTTAAGTTTGGTTATAGGGTACAATTTTCAAAATATTTTCACCATTTCATGACGACTATGATATAAATATTTCAAAACTGTACACTGCAACTTTAATTGTCTGAAAGTCAGTTGAGTATTTATATCATGGCTGAGTCAGTGGCGGAAAGAGGGGGGGGGGGGGGAGCAGAGGGGGCAGCCGCCCTCCCCTCTGAGTCCCGAATATCATAACTAGGTTAGAAATTCTGGCATTCCCCCCTCCCCCCTCGGATGTAAACCTGGCTCCGCCACTGGCTGGGGTTAGGGATGGTTAGGGGTCATAGAAAACAGGGAATTTCAAAGGGGGTGGGGTGAGGCAGTCTCAGTTTCATAGAGGCATAGCCTAGCTACCACCCTTACATGCCACCCCTCCCCCACCCCCCTCCGCTATTTACCCGCTGTAGACACGCTGCTGCTTTAAGGGATTCCGGTTTTCTCCTGGTAAATCTAAAGGACCGACAAGAAGTATGCAATGATTAATGATAAGACTTGAAGAGGTATAACTTGTAGAATATATATATCAAATAATGACTATAAATCAAGTCCAGTAGTTGTTGAGGTCTAGAGTAAATATAAACAATACAATTTACATTATAATAAAAATGGAAATCACGTCCGCTTTCATTTTATTTTGTAGAGTAATTTTAATATTGTAAAAACTCTTAAATTACATTATTTTCCACCAAAATACATCAGGACAGTTAGAAATGAAAAAACTTTTTTGAAAACATTTTAAGTTTTGAATATTTACCTTGAGGCGGCTCACTCCAGACTACATCCCCATTTCTCAACCTAGTATGTCCAAGGATCTTATTTTCCTTTTCCGCATATTCCAGACTGGAAACTCCACCACGGTGTAAAACTAGAGCACACAATATCACTTTTATTATCATAATTACTGTCACTTTGTAGCTAAATTGAAATGAAAATGTTGTTTAGACCGCTGTATGTTTTAAGGTCTGACTATACTGTTAAACAGGATAGGCTCCCTATAGTTAATTTCTATAGAGAAATTAGAATGGTGTAAATAGAAGCTATAAGTATTCCGATACACATACAGTCATACACTCTTGTGATTTCTTTAATGTCCTGAACAGTTTGGAATTTGTCAGGGCACTGCTTTGGAGTTTGTCAAAGCCTTGGAATAACTGAATGACACAAGTTTTAAGAAAATGATTTAAATGCGGCCTTTGTTGACAATATTTCAACAACTATTTATAATATAATCTCCAATGTAGGAACAGGACATCCTTATGTAGCCTTCCACTGCTGATAGTCCAAATAACCTGTCGTATTTAGAATCCAATTCATGTCTAATTGTCGTATAAGTAAAGCACAAAACTTATAATAAATTCCTAAGTAAAGCACAAATTTATATAATATATTACCAATTAGGCCTAAAACACATTAACTTAAATTTTCACATTAAATTTGACTGAACACATCAAAACTGACACATCAACATCAAAACTGACAAGTAAACGTTGTAACCATGATAAACAACATCCATTCCTCGGGAGAATAAACAGAATCTAGTCGACCACAGATAAAATCAGTCAGGTATAAAAGGTTGGGACTGGTATATTAGAAATATATGTCTACTTGATACTATAATTATATACTGTAATAATATAATGTAGAGTTTATATACAATCAACGCTACACTACTCTATTCAGGATATGACTTAAGACCCATTCACACTTCAGTGAAACATAGCGAAATATGTACTTCTGTTTAGAACGGTTCTAGATATTAATATTAAACGGGTATAGTTTATATTATATAAATTTAATAAACAATGATACACGTGTATTATTCTCTATTTAAGATGTATCTTAGGACTGATTCACACTACAGTGAAACATAGCAATAATTGTGTTTAGTACGATTCTAGATATTAATATTAAAAGAGCTATTCATATAATCTTTAAATGACATTTAGAAGTAGGTAGAACATTCAACAAGGACAACTATTATGAATATACTACTCCTTTAATTTAATTTTTGCAACGTTTCAATTCACATACAGGAATCTTTATCAAGTATAATTATTAATTGTTATGCTTGATAAAGATTCCTGTATGTGAATTGAAACGTTGCAAAAATTAAATTAAAGGAGTAGTAAATCTATAATAGTTGTTCTTGTTGAATGTTATTCATAGTTTATATTATATTTAATAGTGTTTATACACAATACAACAATGGTAGTAAAGTATAATAATCAGGATATGGCTTAAGGCCAAGTCAAACTGCAGTGGATCATGGCCAATGTTTGTGTACAATTTCTACTAAGGGGTAGGCTAGGGTAGGTCAAGGCGGCTCTGACATCAACACAAAATCAAAATTACGAAAGCATAGGCCGAGGAGAAAATTCAGGTAAATTGACAACACCATAATGAAATAATGAAAATAAAAGACCACAGCCATATACGCCCACCACGACATGGAGATGGTAAAAACCAAACATCCATTTTAAGTTTCATCAAAATCGTTTGAAAACAACATTTTGGGGCAAGGGCAATAACTCTGCTTCTAACGGTCGAAAATAGCTCAAATAGCTAGATTTTTAGAGCGTTTACAAGGAAATGTTGACGGACGGACGGACCGACCGACCGACGGATCGACGGACGGACAGGGGTACCGACAATATACGTCCACATAGAGAGATGTGGGCTTATAAAAATGAGACGGTGAGGAGAAGAGATGCGAGGGGATGGGGGTTGTCAAAGTATGGATCTAAGTATATACTATAATAAGTGATCTAGATATATTTTAAATCGGTGCCATATATTCACGGAATAGAATTTGCAAAACTACTAACTGTCATATATTATTCAAGACTCAAGCCCTCTTCACACCACAGTAGGCGAAGTATCGTTCAAGCTTTATATTCAATATCGCAAAAACTATTAATATAATTTGCAATAGTGACGTTATGAAAAATATAAGACGTGGAACTGCAGGAATCACAGACGTCTGGCTGAAAATTAATGGTATGAGTTGATAGAACGTTGTTACTATCTCTAAAGACGTTGTTTATAGACGAACTGGGTTTGGACTAATGTTATTCTCTTTCACAAGACAGTGATTTGAAGGCAGATTAAAATATACAACACGTCATCTTTATTTTCATCAAACACTCTGAAATTACTCATCAATTATAACATAGCTACATCTGAGACCCCGTTACAAACAGAAAGTTTAGAAAATCTCTTTAAGCGGACGGTCGCGTCAGCATACAAGCTGATGTTTATTTTGGTATTTAGAAGTTTGCTAATAATACTAATATTTTAAAACAACCACTGAACACCATGTAATATATTATACAATTAATAGGTTTATGTAATTAATCAATCGAAATGTCCGCAAAATTGAGCTCAATTGAATCGGTAGCCGTGTGATTAGGGCTTTAGTTTCGACCCTTCCTTGTCGTCGAATATCCGTCTAGTAAATTCAATCTATAGTCAATATATCTGATCTCTATAGACAATATATCCGAGGCGGATATCCCCGAGAACCTGTCAACAAGAAACACTTGTTTATATGCGTTCTTCTTTACGACATTCACCTTTCAATCCTGTTCCCCTCTGTCAGTGATGCAGGTAAGGGGGGCTGACATGGAAGTCTATTTCGGATGGGACAATAAACCGAGATCTCTCAACAGTTGGAAATCGAAAAAGAGCACGCTAAAGCCGCTGCCCTGGCAAAATGTACCTCATTGCACCCTGCATGGCGTTGTCTGTCTTCATTAGTCCATGTGATGCAGGAAAGTAGGACATCAACCAAGAGTTATTTCATTTCATTTCCGACATATTAACTACCCGTTCATCGTTGTTCCATAAAGCTGTGTCTATATATCGTTCAAAGGTAAGTAATTTTTTTACCGTTGAGAATACCACCAGTATTCTTAGCTAGATCAAACTTCATTGAGGTATATTAATAGTTTATGTCATCGAAGAAATATTCAAGGAATTTGCTTGCTATCCTCGTTCTTACTGTTCAGAAGCATGGAAACAAATGCAAATGATAGGAATGGATCCTACTTTCTTTCCAACCGACTGATTTCACACTGTTGCAAGTCTCTCTTGCCCCACCATGTGAAGACAAGTATACGTAAAACACTATTTGACATGACAGTAGATAAGAAAAGACAATCTATAATTAAAGTAACAATGTATATTTCATTAAATTAATAACATAACAACAACAATATACACAACTTTAACTTCTCTTCAATATTCTAACCATATCTTAACTTGGGTTTAATCATCTTCACAAAGACAAGCTCTGACTGGCTGTATTCCCTAACGTACAATCCAATCAAACTGCTTCATTCCATGAAGGTGGCTATTGCAGACAAGGTATTAGATACGGTTCATAATAGCTTAACATTGTGAAGATGGGTTTAATGACTGTTGATCCAGGAACCCCAGTGAAAATAGAAGGTTGTTCGGTGATCAAATTAGCAATTCCCTTTATCAAACTATCTTGAAAAGTAGGACGTAAAACTTCATTTTTTCAAACTATATTATGCTATTATTTAATACAACAAATAAATCCACCGCAAATACAAAATTCTTTCCCTAATCAAAATGTCATGTTAGATGGGTCGTGTTAATTTGCAACAAATGTGTTCAATGTTCATGTTAGCCATTTTCTGTATTGAAATATTTTTGACCAAATTAACAATAATGAACTCAGGCCAGGGGTCATAAATTACAACCCTCGGACCAAACAAAACAAGTGTACAGAGTAACAAATTTGCACCATGTAATTCTCAGCTTCAGACTGGGGCCTAGACAATCTAATTATAAAACTAGATTCAAATTTCGTTTCTTTTTTGTATTCGGATATTTTTCAACAGTACTGCAATCTAACAAGTTTTCTAACAAAGTCCTGTTCTAATGACATAATCTTTAACCAATTAAAACATGTCGTGTAGGACCAGTTCCTTTATATCATATTGAATGGTGAGATAGCAAAACACAACTTTACAATTAAAAAAACCAAATACTATCAATTATAAGTGAGTAAGTATTTCATAATGAAAACAAGTATAGAGAAACAGAGATAAAAATGTCAGAAAACAAAAAAGAAACTAATTTGTAATCTCGTTTTAATTCGATTGGCTCCCAAAACTCCGTCTGAATTACTGCCACTCCCATAACCTGGTTTACCCTTGTCAGTGTTGCAGGTTATAGGGGCTGACATGGAAAAAGCGTCTAGTCGTTCGAATGGAACAATAAACCGAGGCCCTGTGTGCTACAGGCTGTGCACTTTAAAGATCCCTCAACAGTTGGAAATCGAAGAACGGCACACTAATGCCGTTGTCCTGGCAAAATTTTCCTCATTGCACCCAGCATGGCGTTGCCCCTCTTCATTAACCCACATGGTGTGATTAGTCCACATGGTGTATAGCCCACATGGTGTCATTAGCCCACATGGTGTCATTAGCCCACAAGGTGTCATTAGCCCACATGGTGTCATTAGCCCACATGGTGTCATTAGCCCACATGGTGTCATTAGCCCACATGGTGTCATTAGTCCACATGGTGTATAGCCCACATGGTGTCATTAGCCCACATGGTGTCATTAGCCCACAAGGTGTCATTAGCCCACAAGGTGTCATTAGCCCACATGGTGTCATTAGCCCACATGGTGTATTAGCCCACATGGTGTATAGCCCACATGGTGTCATTAGCCCACAAGGTGTCATTAGCCCACATGGTGTCATTAGCCCACATGGTGTCATTAGCCCACAAGGTGTCATTAGCCCACATGGTGTCATTATCCCACATGGTGTCATTAGCCCACATGGTGTCATTAGCCCACATGGTGTATAGCCCACATGGTGTATAGCCCACAAGGTGTCATTAGCCCACATGGTGTCATTATCCCACATCGTGTCATTAGCCCACATCGTGTCATTAGCCCACATGGTGTATAGCCCACATGGTGTATAGCCCACAAGGTGTCATTAGCCCACATGGTGTCATTAGTCCACATCGTGTCATTATCCCACATCGTGTCATTATACCACATCGTGTCATTAGCCCACACTGTGCAGAAAAGAAGGATGTAAAACTCCATTCATTTCATTTCATAACTTAACCTTGTTTACAACCATGCAGTCACAAAAGTGAATAATCAACACTTAAATTCTCTTTTTTTCATCATCAAGATGGCATCTGATCGTCTGATAAATTCTGTAAAACAAAGTTTAAATGTTCGCTAATTATCATGTTTAAATCTCGTGAAATTGTCATAAGAACTCGGTAATTCTCCTTGTCCGCCACGACTCCAGTGGGCGTGGCCATGACATCAGATAATGTTTTATGAACTTGTGACATCTTCTGAAACAACGACACGTCTAAAGGCATTGGAACCATTTTACATAACTCGGTAAAATTAGACAACCAGTTATAATATTCCTGACTTCCAAAATCAGGATTGGCCACGTAATCTCGTGCCGTTTCAGAATCAGCCAATGAGGTTTCTGGTTTGCTGGGTTCTTCGTTGTCTTGGTAACGAACCTCAAATACCTGCTGTTCATTAGAATTTTCTGATAAACCTAAAAATACAACACAACTTGCTTTAAAGAAAGAAAATCAACCATTTTTACAAGGATAATAACTTAATTTCACGAGGATCCTTTAGTCCTGCCAGCTTTTTCTTATGGTATTGAATCCTAGACTTTCAGGTTAGCGAGCAAGCGTCTAACTCACTGAGCCTAAACGGCACCCTAGACCAATGCCAGAATTGTTTCTGGGACTTTCAGGTTAGCGAGCTAGAGTAACCGAACCTCCGATGATTCCAGTGATATGGAGAAGAAAGTAGAAAAGTAGACAAACCTTGAATAATTTGATACGTTTCATAATTTCCACCATTCTCTGAGTCTGTTATAGCCAAGACGGTTTTCTCTGTGTCTTGTCGACCAGGTACTTCTTGTAGAGGGATCTCCAGCTGATTGGTTGAATTCTCCACAGCTTGAGATAGCTGGATCAGATCACTATCTGTTACCGAGGCAACGTTCAATTCCTCAACGTAAACTGTCTGATTTTTAGATTTATCAGGAGTGGCAATCTCGACTTGTTGAACCACAATGTTACTATTGAGATTTTTAATCAGGCTGACAATTTTACGTTGACTATCAGACGAGTCTAGATTCAGAGTTGTCTGTTCTTGATCTTTGATATGAACTATAGCATCAATAGGTTCCTTTTTAATTGGATCCTGATCGTCTTTAATAGAGTGTCTTCGCGCGATATGAACTTTTAACTGTCCAGTCCGTTTAAAGCCCTCTCCACACTTATAACAAACATAAGGTCTAGCCTGGCTATGTTCACGTATGTGTCGTTTACAACTTGATCTATCACTAAACCTAAGATTACAATGAGTACATCTATACGGCTTCAATCCTGAAAGATATTCCAAAATATATTGATTACTTAGTTACTCTGAAAATTTAAAAGGGTCAATTAAAATAAAATATTCAGAACTAATATACATATACAGATCTTGTGCCCAAAATTAAAAAAAACAGGTCATTTTTAGTCGAAAACAAAAACATTCCATACACACAGAATTTGTGCCGAAGATTTTAAAATGGGTGTTTCAAGTAAAATATTCAGAACTAATCCCAAAGGAAACTTTCAGTTGAGATAAAACGGACAATTTCAGAATTAATCCATAATAAATAAATAAATAATTATATTATAAATCATCGTACTACCTGTGTGGATTATTTTGTGGCGTGTTAGATCAGATTTGTGGGCGAAGGCTTTCTTACAGGTGTCACAAGAAAACGGCTTTAAACCTGAAAAATTTTCAAAAACATTCAGGAAAATAATAGACTGCGTCCAAATATAACAAAAACGATGGGCGATGAAATGAGAAAGTTTTTGAAACATTGTTGCAGACATTAAGTTTTCCTTAAGCACAGTTTTAGAAACTGATAGTGCTCAACTTCAACAATCTTGATTCTAACCGCTGATCAAACCAAAATTTTAGCATTTGATAAAGCTCATTTATAGCATCTGGTCAAACCAGATTGCAGCAACGGATTGGATCAAGCACAAACTCAACAGTGGCTCAAGCGAAATTTTACCAGCTTCAATTTCAGAGGCTCATCAATCTCAAACAATGATATACATATATCACAGTTGATCTAATGAGCACTTTTAGTAAAATCAGAACTTTTTCCATCTGGGATGTTAACTGTTAATGATTCTGTCAATCATTTATACAGAATCCTGGTCGCACCCTGGTCGCATTCCTCAAATTATCAGAGGATGTCAGAAGTATGAAATTTTACACTGAGAAACACCAAACTGACAGAAAACTGCAGAAGATTGTTTGTGAAACGAACCCCGACACTGACCTGAATGAATTCTAATATGAGATCTTAAATAAGCCATCTGACTAAAACTCTTCCCACAAACATCACAAATATAGGGTGTGGCTAACGTATGAGTGACTTGATGACGTTTAAAACAGCTGATCTGGCGAAAACTTCTCCCACATTCTTCACATTTATAGTTCTTTGTATTATCATGTATAGCTTGATGTTCTGTTAGACTCACTTTACTTGAGAATTTATTATTACACGTAACACACGTAAACGGTTTCTCACCTGTCAAAATATTAATTATCATAATTAGAAATATCAAACTTTGTTCAATTTAATAAATCATAAAATAACTTATAACAACAACATCTATCAAAATATTTATCAAACTTTCAACATTTTCTGTCAGGTTTTTATGATATTAAAAAACCCTTTTGGAAATGTCTGGGGGTGTGGGTTTTAAATACTGTGAAGACCATTGGGCGTGTTTTTCCCATACTTAATAACAACACAAATTAGAGATACCCAGGTACTTTTTATGGATTGATGTCAGTCAAAAGAAAAGACAAATATCCCTATCCAAATATTTAACTTTGGATAGGATCCTGTCCCTGGCTGAACCTTTTAGCAATGCTCTTTGAGGAGGATGACTATTTCACTGACCCACCAAATATGAATAGAGCTGTAGTTTAACATTGTTCATCATCAATAAGCTTAAAAATGTCCTCGAAACAATGACCAAAAACAAAAAATAAAGACAAAAATTTTACCTGTGTGAGTCAGTTTATGCCTTCGTAAAGTTTCATTACTCCTAAATTTCTTTTCACAATTTTCAAAATCACAAGGGAACGGTCTTTCATCTGTGTGTAGTCTTTGATGAACTTTTAGATTGCCTAAAAAATAAATTCTCAGTTTTAACAATGAGATAATTATTGTAGCATTCCAATGATTAATAATAATGACCATGGATTGTCAAGTTCTGCTGTCTTAAATTGGAACCTGTTCAGAACTAATCTATTGTGAATCACCAAAGTTATAATCTGATTATTACTATTACCTTTCTGTAAAAACACTCTATTACATTGTTCACAAGCGTAGGCTACTGTTTTATTACCATTGATTTTTAAGACAACTGGATCAGTCTTTGAGACAGGGGCAGGTGGATCTTTTTCAGCTGTAACAGCAGGTGTTGATGGCACTTCTAAAATATAATGAATGGAGTTTTACGTCTCCTCTTCTGCCCCATAATTGGACTAATGAAGACAGGTAACACCATGCAGTGTGCAATGAGGGAAACTTGGCCAGGACAGCAGCATTAGCCTGCTCTCTTTCGATTTCCAAATGTCAAGGGATCTTTAACGTGCACAGCCTACAGGGCCTCTATTTATTCTCCCATCCGAACGACCAGAATTTTCTATGTCAGCCCCTCTTACCTGCATCACTGACAGGGAGACACTGGGTTGATAAAGTCAATGGTATTATCTCGACTTATGCCAGGTTTGAACCCTGATGAATATTTTCCCCAACCAACACTTTTTAACTATTTTGATGAGGATATTTTGATTATGCCTGATAAAAAAAGAATCTCAAAGTTTGAAGTTTTATATTTACCTATAATAGTGGGTATTATTTCTTTCTTTGGTCTGCCTGAAAACAGAATACATACATATTCATCAATATACAATTTATAATATTAGTTTCAGTTAACATGAGGGTATATCAACCAGAAGGGTGTGATATAGATCTTTATATATTACAGATATAAGATTTTTAAAATATTAGATACCACAACCAGTTTTTTCTAGAATCAGTTGATAATATTATTTCAATATGTTTGTCTCGATAAGAAATGAAGGTTTTATTTTTTCACCTTTTTTTTTGCGTTTAACTTTAACAAATTTCTGTGGTACATAATGGTTGTAGTCAATACTTGAATCAGAGTCGGACTTTTCCTTGTCTACATTCTCCAGGTTCCGATAATCTCTAGAATAAAAATATTCAGATCATTATTATCTTGAGATACTACATATAGTTCTTACACAGAAATAACACACACGAATGTAGTTCACAGCCATTTTGAATCTCTTCCTCGACTTATTAAATTGAATTTTTAAAGATGGTTTTCCTTATTTTTAGTGTCATATGAAGCAAGCTATTTGATTAATTGATGTTTCTAATGAATTATCATATATTCTAAATCATACCATTATAAATTTTATTGCATATAACAAAGAGTTTTCACCAATCATAAATGTCCATGTAAGTACAGTCTGGATAAACAAAAAAAGACTTTAAGACCTGTCTTGATCGATCACTCATTGGAATTCTGCTGGTAATTCTCTTCTAATTTAGCTAATTATGATTTAATTATGGACAATAAGAGAACTACGGAGCCCCTAAGGCGCAATTGTAAACATATTTATTTATTATTTCGTTTAAACGAAATAGACGAAAAAATTAATTCGTTTAAACGAAATAATAAATAAATATGTTTACAATTGCGCCTTAGGGGCTCCGTAGAGAACCCATCTTTAAAAGGTTAAAATATTTCATCAAAACCTTCAAATCACATTTGAAGTATTTCCTTTATGTGTTTTGAAAGCTTATTTGAAACATTATAGCCTTTCTTTAAAATTTGACTTTTTAAGTGATTCAAAATGGTTTAAATGGGTTAATACAGTAAATAAAGAGAAATTTGGGCATTACAGTATCAGAACTTGGAGCTTTCTAGAACAAAAACATGGAGATAGCTATTAGATAAACCTCAATGGGATAATAATGACAAACAACACCATGCAGTGTGCAATGAAAAATTCCTGGTTGGACTCTTTTCTGATCTTTCAACATGTACAGCCTGTAGTGTAAGAGCTAAGAGCTGGACAATATATAATATATCTAAGGTCTTTGCATTGGGAATTTTACATTGTGAGATACTGGTACCATACTTGAGAAAATTGTTTGTTTGATTTATTGTGAAACAGAACTCAGCTTCAAGAGAGTATCACTACTACTGTTAATCCTAAAATGTCTTTGTTGATTAAAATAATAACTAGATCTATGGGCTGAAATGTTAGACAGGACCATGTCCTTGTGTATTAGGTCTAATTTTGACCCATGTAAAATAAAGAGTTTATTATTATCTATTTTCAAACAAAATTCAGTTTTTTCATGTAATTAGTACATATCGTCAGTTATGCATGTCCACGACTGTATACACCTGCAACTTACAATCTGGGTGTTAAAAACTTACCGGAATTTAAAAGGAATGATGCGTTTCCTGCTGGGTACTCTACCAGATCGTCTCTCAATATCATAATCATTAGCTTGTATCCCCACTTCAAACACCATATGACACGTCTTCGGTTCTTCTTTTTCATTTTGAGCTGTTTCTTCTTTAACACACACTTCATCTGGTTTCTCAACCTACAATTTAATATCATTTAACACACACTTCATCTGGTTTCTCAACCTACAATTTAATATCATTTAACACACACTTCATCTGGTTTCTCAACCTACAATTTAATATCATTTAACACACACTTCATCTGGTTTCTCAACCTATTATAAACCATAATAATATTAAAAACATTGAAGATAGCTGTTACAGATGAACGTCAAAAGGTTGGGCCAAGGACCAGCTGGTAGACATAATTCTTGTTAACCATTGTTGTTATCCTTGTGAACTTTTGTTGTTATCCTTGTGAACCTTTGTTGTTATCCTTGTGAACCTTTGTTGTTATTCTTGTGAAACATTTCTTAAAATATCAAACAAACCTGTTGGTCATTCCATTCTAAAATAGTTTTAACAAAATCTGCCTCTGCTGATTTAATAGTCTCCTGTAATAGAACACAAAATCTAAATTATTGTTTTAACCTGTTTTAATATAAAGAAGTTCTAGATTATAATCATTTTATTAGAATAGGAACAGGCCTATTTTTGCATATTAATTACCGGTATCAAATGTCTTTTTTATGAGCCAAATTTGCACATCACATCTTGAGCCAACAGTTAAAATCACAGACTAATGACAGCAATGCAACAACTATCCTGGACCATACAGTGTGGAAAGGATCGTAGCAAGTCATAGGTTACCAGCTAATGGTAATGACACAATAATTCTGTAGAAAGTTGGATTTGTCTGCTAGGACATTGAAATAGATCAGTCAGTAGCATGTTGGATTGCCGTCTGCAAGAGAAGTCTGACAACTCAGTTAGTAGTGAATTGGTTGGTCACTAACTAGGAGAGTAAACAGTGCAATCAATAAGCCAATTTGGTATTGTCTGCACGCATGTGTGACACGTTGATTCCCTTAATCCAAAACGCGATAAACAACCTCGATTTAATGTGGCAGTCTATGGACAGCGATGGAAAAAGATTTCATATAAAGAGTTGACAGATAACCATTTATCATCTAGAATGATGTTCTCTTAAGCAAGTTTTGTCTGTTTTAGGCGTATATCAGGAGTAAATCCTTTGTACAATATCCTTGTCCAGAGACTACCATGTTAAATCGACGTTGTTTATCCCCAAACGGAAGAAGGGAATTATAATATGGATATGGTCTAATTGGCTTACAGCAAGCTGGATTATCATCTAATGATAGGCGAAGTAGGTATTCCATAAAGGCCCCAAAAAGAGCTTTAGGGGTTTGAGGGTCCGCCTAGTACTGACTCCATTCTTATCCCTGTGACTATGCTAAATCATAATACCTTGTTGGGTTGCTGGGATGTTGGTTCAGGTAACTTTGATGGTATCAAGTTAACATTTAGAGCTAGAACATCTTGATTTTTAGGGAAACCTTCAACTGCCTCCCCATCTTCACTTGTTTTCTCAGTTGACTCTATAAAGAATACACATTAAATTCTTTACTAGGCAAGGGTATAGGGCCTTGGCCTATTCCAAGACAGTTTCAATCATAGTGTCCTTTTCTCTGACAATTACCTTCATAGCACAGAGCACAGAATAGTGATTTATATAGCTGACATTTCAGCCTGTTCATTTACAAACAGTACAATCAAAGATAATGCAATAAAGACAGAGTCAGAGGAAGGGGAACGGTCCTAAATTCCAGTATATTTTCACCTTATTCAATAAAGTCTAACAAGTGACATGGATAGGCGAGATTTGAGTCATTTCAGCTACCAATTCAATTTAAAAGATTTCTAAAGATAGTTACTACTCCATGTTTTTAATGTTTACAGAATAGAATTTTATTATTGTTATTATTGTGTATTTGTAAATGAAAGGTTCCATACATCATTACAAATTCGAAATAATTTTAAGGGGCCTCCCCATTCAATAACAATGCGAGATTCCAAATATCTTTCGACTTCTGTGGATACAGATCTCAATCGAACGGAGCATTGATTTCTATTTTAATAAAATGTTTACAGGACAATCAATCCTAAAATGGATTGAAAAGAAATGCAATTTTTAACGAGGAAGACAGTTACCAATTACTTCAGCGGCATCCATTTTCAATCTTGAACAACCCGGATGTAAAGGGAAGTAATTCGTGTTGACATTTATAATAATGTAAGAACACAGTTAAAATGTTTTACGTTCGTATCAGCCTCAAAATAATTATAATATGCTGAAAGTGTTTAAATTCATTATTAGAATATCCTTTGGAATGAAATGAATGAAGATTAGCGTCTTACTATTCTGCACCTAATGATCTAATACTAATGTAGTGTGCAATGAGGGAAATTTTGCCAAGACAACGGAGCCTTAAAGCAGTAGCGTTGCTGGGAAACATCAGGTTAGGGGGGCCGAGCAGGGGCCACAAAATTTTCCAGTTTTTTGCTGAAAACTAAGTAGCCTAATAATTTATTGAACAAAGTAATTTGAAAATTACTTTGTTTAATGGATATAATTATTGTCTTTTTTAGAGATTCCAACAGATGAATATTTACACTTGTTTACCGAGTTTGTACTTCGAGTGATTTATAAATGAAAAATTTCGAATGCAGAAAAAGCCAATTTAGAGGTACAATTAGAGAAATTGAGCCAAACATAATAATTTCTAAAGTTAATACATCCATATGGAGAATAGTAGTTTCATTGATAATATTCATAAGTTTATCCCAGAGTAT